GGACAAACGTCTTCATCAACCTGCGTCTGATTGCAGTGGACAGGCCCAGGCTGGGGGTCCCAGTTGGCTTGGCAAGCCGGTCAATTGACTGCCTGTTTGGCCGCAGTCAAATACTCCAGCAAGAACCCTGGGTGTAGGAGGCCGTTTGCCTTTTTGATTGTGTCATGGAGCCTCGCTTGTGTCTTTCAGAACTTCGTTTCATTGTTTTGCTTTTTTTTTCCTGAGTTAAAATAATTCATTTTAAAATACACCTAATTTTAAAAAAATGTACTTAAGTATCTATCTAAAGCTAAACCTACTGGAGACCATGCAGTCTTGCTCTTTTTTGTTACTGTTCTGATAAATTGATATTTTAAAATATTTGACCGTTTTTGGACACATTTGACTGGTCAACTGACCAATTCGTGTTTGTACCAGTCAAATGCCCAATTCTAGATGCAACTCTTACCCCACATGCCACTTTCTCATTCTCAGTGCTGGCATCTAAGCTTTCATCAGCTGCTCTGTGCCCCCCTGCTGGCCCTGCATGCCCGGACGGCTGGATGGGATACCGAGGGAAATGCTACTATTTCTCGGAGGCTGAAGGGAACTGGAACAACAGCCAGAGCCAGTGCTCTGCACTCAGCGCCTCCCTGGCTGGGATCGATAGTGAGCAGGAAATGGTGAGAGACTGTCTCATTGCGATACACTGGCCTTGGCACAGAGGCTGCTCCTGTAGGACCTGGGCTCTGCCTCTGCGGGGCGAGGAGCAGCTCTGACCCCTCTCGTGCTGGGAGGCCAGAGTGAATGGACTTCCAGCCCCTCAATGCCAGGCCTGGCTGGGCCCAGGGCCCTACTGTCTGTGTGTGATCACAGGGATTGCCCATTCTCAGCTGCCCCCTCCCCGAATAGGGAGACAGCCCCTCTCTAGGGCAGGACTGGCTCAGGCATCTGTTGGCTGCTGGAGTGGGACGGAGACCACAGGCAGTGTCCTGTTTTGGGGATGGGAAAGGAGCAGCGAGCTGAGGATGTGGGGGGGATCCTCTCACATCGACCCCTCCCACTTCAGCTAGACTCGCTCCCTCTTCCTGCCTTGCTGTGGTGCGGGGCGGCTGCTCTGTGAGAAGAGACGTCTGAGCTCTCTGCAGAGACCCAGCAGCTGCCCCCAGTCCAGGGGAACTAGGGGTGTGGGTGACTGGCAGCACAGGGGCGGGGCTGCTGTGTGCGGTAGGAGCTTGTGCTTTGCAAGAGGGAGGGGGAAATCTAGCGTCCTTCTGAAAATAAATTGAGCGCCTTCAATGTGTGACTGGGATTCTCTGCAGCACAGGGGCATGGGGGGGGAAGCACCAGAGCTGGGTCTGATACCTGCTGTCCCTCGGATTTCTTTAAGACATTCCTCCTGCGCCATAAGGATGCCCATGACCACTGGATCGGCCTCCGGAGGGAGCAGGGGCAGCCCTGGAAATGGACCAACGGCACCGAATTCAACCACCTGTGAGTGTCTCACCCTCGGTACTAATTCCCTGGGCTTGGGGATTCTGGTGTCTGACCTGTTTTGAGCTCAGGTGGATCCACCATTCAGTGCTAGTGAAACAACCAGACATGACCAGGGCCGGCGGCGGCAGTTCAGAGGCAGGTCCTTCGCTCCTAGAGGGAGTGAGGGAGCTGCCGCCCCCGAATTGCCGCAGGTGCCGCCCCTCTCCCTTTGCCGCCCCAAGCACCTGCTTGTTAAGCTGGTGCCTGGAGCCGGCCCTGGACACAACCCTGGTCCATTCGCGTCCTGCGTGTACCACAGACCGATGGGAGCCGGCGTGTCCCGGAACTCTCGGCTCCTCCCCGCAGCGCGGTGCTGGACCGGAGACAGAGCCCGCCATAGCCAGAGGTGCCCTCGCAGCGCGCTGGGATCTCAGCTGGGGCACTCGCTGTTCTTCCCTAGCCCTCGTCAGCAAGGTCCCTGGGGTGTCTGACCCCCCCCCCCCCCATTGGAGCTAAAGAATCCACTTCTTTAACTGAAAACCCCTCCTGATTGATAAAGCTCTTATGCAGGGCAGCCAGTAGAGGGGGATGGAGACCCCCCACTTCCCTGGTCTGGGTTAATTCAGTACTTTGAAAAATCAGGCTGTTATGGTGCTGGGTCAGCGCTCCCCAATGGCCAGTCCCTATTGTGCTGTATTGGACCCAGCCTTGGATCCCACCTGCTTCCAGCCCCACTAGGTCTGAATAGCTACGAGACGCTGTCTCTAGTTCAGGCATCCGTGGCACACTGCTGGGGTACAGACTCCCTGTCTGGTTCCCTCCTTAGGATGTGGGACCCTGCAGTCCAGCTGCTGTAGGGCCCAAAACCAGTGCTGAACCCTCCCAAACCTCCCTAGAGGCCATGCTGTCCCTAGAGCTCCACCCTCCAATCCAGATTAACGCTGGGAGGGTCACGTGATGGTTACAAACAAGGAACACCTGCTTTCGCAAAGGAACTTCTTAAACACACTCTCTTTCCCCCCTTCCCAATGGAAAGTTCAAGATGTATAGATCAGTGGAAGAGGAAACACCCGAATGCAATTTCCTTTTTCAGTGTCATCTTGGTTCTGCTCTGTGTGTTTCCAGGAGGCAGGATCCCTCCTGCCCCCCACTTTTCCTGCTCAGTCGTCTGGTTCTGGTGATGCTCTGCCCCTCTTGTTAGAGGACCGGTCCCTTTTGAAAATCAGTCTCACAAATTCTCTCTGTCCTGCTGGGGACTTTCCATTCTCTAGCACCCCTGTGGGCTGGTCAGTATAGAGCAGGGGTCTTCCCTGCAGCCCGCCAAGCTCCCTGTGCCCCTCTCCCCAGTTACTTCCTGTCATCGTCAAACTCCCCTGACCCCCAACCCCGAGATATTTTATGTGGCAGCTAAGTTCCCCACGCGCTGCTCCCCAATGTTTGGGGCCGGGTCACTCCCCCACCCT